GCACGCCGTGTCCTAATATACTTGAATAAAAACATCGCAACTCCCAAGATAGGGACTTTAACTTAAAAAAAAAAAAATAAATAAATAAAATATACTTATTAATTTTATTAAATTATATAACATTTATATTATTTTTTATTAAGTTACTGCTTACCAAGATGATCAATACAATAATCTTGCAGATTAACTCACATGCAACTATTACAACTTTCTATACCTTACCTTTATATTTTATAATATTTACAATCCTTCTTATACTTTAAATTTTGAAATCTTTTTTTAGAATTATCTATTTATTATAGTATTCATACAATATGCTATGCACATATTTATACACTATGGATTATATAAAACTACTTTCAAAAATGACACAAAATTCTTAACTAAGTTAATTGGTAAACTACTTAACTATATATTAATAACAATTAAAAAATCTTCAACTTCTCATACAGCTTTCAGTCTTTTATTTTTAAATTCTTCAGAATTAAAATTCTACTAGATAATTTTTCTATTTCATATATTTTATATAAATAATATTATTTATATTTATCAATTTGTCACCAATATTACTAAATTAGTTATCATTTTTTACTAAACAATTTGCTTATCTAATTAATTACTATACAACCTTATAGATATTTTATTAAAATATATTACTATCAATATACTTAATATTATATCAAATACTATAATAAACTTATACAACCAAATTAAACTACTAAGTATTATGACTACTTATAGTTTATTAAATGTACCTTCAATTTTCTTAACTCTAACAGGTCTAATACCAAACAAACTCATTAATATTAATACAAAGTTGTTATTCAAAAAAGTAATTTCAACACTTACTATAAAGTTTTTGCTTCATATTAATCAATAAATTTATTATAAAATTTGAATTTTCTATTGTATTTTAAGATCTATAGCTCAAACTTCTAACATAACTTATTATCAAACTCTGTCTTACTTCTATCATGTTCTCTTCTATTTAATTCTATTAGTTTAAAAATAACCTTTTAATATATTTAATAAATTAAATACAAACTAATCCTTTATATATAATTACTAATATTCAAATCTAAATAAGTCTTAATTATTTTGGTTAGTTTAGATTACAGATAAATTAGTCTGAGTATTTATTCTTTTTATAATATTTTAAAAACAAAATTGTACTTTATATAAAATTTTAATTAAATATTTAATAAAGATAGAAACATAACTTTACTATTAATATTAAAAAAAAAAGTTGTATATATAACTAGTTGTACTTTCATCTCTGTAAAAATAATATAAACCAACTTTAATATATTAATAAAATAATTATTATAAAATATAATTTTTTTTTAAAAAATATATATATATTTGATTAAATAGTAATTTGAGTTTTCAAATTTTGTATTAATTTTTGAAATTAAATAATTATTGTTTTTATTAATAAAAATATAGTTCAAATATGTGACCATTGTATAATCACCTTGTGTTTTTTTAAAAAAACATAAAATAATTTTGTTTTTACAAAATTTAAAGAATCAAAAAGTTTCTAATAAGATCTTGTAATTATGCTCTTGTTGTCTCGTATTGTAAAACCATTTTACTAATTTTATTTTTTTTGAAATATAAATTAATATTAAAATTATTTTTAATATTACAAATAATGCTAAAATTCAGATTATAAAATCTATTAACTAATTGCTATAACTCTAACCAATCAAGTGCGATCATTTGAATTTAGCAATATTAATTTTGATTGGTTAATAAGTATGTATATGATTTGAAGATCACGTGCATCTCTAAATTTAATTAACCAATAAATGGATTTTTAATTATGCTTCCATCAACCCAATAAAAAATCCTACGAAAAAAAATAAAAAATGCCAAATATCAGGTAAAGACACAAATTAATTTGCACTAGGTTACCAATATTTGTGTCTGAAATTCCTTCTTTATTATCGTTAGTTATCACAACTACGACATCGGTTACGTTGCATTTTTTGTATTCAAGTTATGCACTGTAATTACGTATCCGAATGCACGTTGATCTACGGGAAATCTACGGACAGTGCTTAGGATCAGTGCAAAACCACGTGCTTAAGTTGTGATTGGTTATTTAGCGGTTAGGGAAGAGGATTTCATATTATATCATGTGATTGCACTGTCCCTAAGCACTGTCCGTAGATTCCGCGGTTGATATATGCGTGATGAATTCATGAATAAGTCATGCGGGCTTAAGATTTCGCGTACAAGGTGAATGTGCAACTAGTCACACGTGTAACTTTTGGTTAATTATAAGTCAAGAGTAAGTTAAAAAGGCCATTTTTTTGAAAATTTGCTTCCGATTTCACCCTTTACATTACCAACATATCATAAAATACAGTATTTTAACAAACGGTAAAAGTGCTTCTTTCTATAGCTTAACATAGTAGTTTTATAGCTTTTTGTCCGTTTTTTGTCTTGTCTAGATGCTGGAAAAGCTTGTTTCTTAGTTATGTCAAGTGCTTCATTTGTTACTTTTTCAACGTTACTTAGGAGCAAACTTCGTGTGACACTTTATCGAAAAAAAGACACCAAAAATAAATCAGCCGATATTAATTCACTAATTCCTAGGAGAACGAAGTCACATGATTTGCTTTTGAATTGGTGGATTTTAATATTAAAAAAGTTGTATTAATAAAATTAAACCCTAAACTAAAGCTCGTTATTTTACATAAGACACAGTATTTAAAGTTAATAATTTAGCCGAATATTTTTTAAAAATAAAAGTATGGCCCACCTTTAGTTAAATTAATTATCAACTTTCTTCAAGTAGAGATGTTAACGTTAAGTCGTTCTATGACCCCAGTTTGGAGGTAGTCCAGTCCTAATCTCTAAAAAAAAACTACAGCGCTCTAGTCTAAACTCGTAACCAATCTAATAGCATATATAAATAACATAATATCAGATATATAATAATAAATATTATGAACTATATATTTTATATACTAATCCAAATCGAAATAGCATCATGAATTACTATAAACTACTAACGTGTAATTTGAACTTGAGCTATCAGTTTAACTAGAACTGGTCTAGACTAAGCGTTTGACATTCATATTCTCAAGTCGCACGTCAAAATAAGGGAAATACATAGTATTCAAACTAACAAGTCAGGTGTAACTGGTAGCTAATGGCGGTCCAGTCAAGGGTCCGATACCTAATAAATTTCAAATTTACTAAACTTTACATGCTACAGAAAGTTTATCGTTATAATTTAAAGATAAATATAAAGATCAAATATTATGAGCACATGATTCTATCTGACTTTTATTTATTGTTTATGTTTGTACTTCAAAACAGACAAAATTCTAAATCAACGAATTCTCTCTCCTTCTACTTTTTGTAATGACGATGAATGAATTGTTGAAAACATTATCGAAAGACTTATGTCAACTTCTTGACGTGGCTGACGAGTATAATGTATTGATCACTGTCGGTACTGATGACAACACAAAAACTTTTAAAGCTCATACCGTAATCTTACGTTCTCGCTCTGCCTATTTTCGTTATGCATTATCGGGCGATTGGGCCAGAAAGGATCATATCGTATTCAATAAGCCAAATATTTCACCAGAAGCATTTGAAGTTATTTTGAAGTAAGTATTAAGTTAAGTAAGGGTTTATGAATAAATTTTTCCTTATTGAAAAGTTTTTGGTTTATCAAAGATATATTTATGGAGCGACTATTAATCTATCGGCGATCGGAATGCTGACACTCCTCGAAATTCTAATCGCCTCTGACGAGTTTTGTCTCGCTGAACTAACCAGTTTCATAACCAATCACCTTTTTGCTCGTCATAAACAATGGATGCGAGAGAATTTTATTTTGGTTCATAAAATAGCTTTTCTTCATGAGGCATTTAAGAAACTTCAAGAATTTTGTTTAAAAACTATTCAAATTCAACCGGATGTAGTATTCAAAGCCAATGATTTTGCAAAAATTGACATTAATTTGTTAACTTCTTTGTTAGAACGTAGTAACTTATTCATGCCAGAAATTGAAATTTGGGATGCACTTATTAAATGGGGAATGTTTAATACATCACCTCCTCTCGAACCTGATTATGAAACATGGCCAGGAGAATCATTTGAGAATTTACAAGAAACTTTACATCGATTTATTCCTCTTATTAACTTTACTACAATTTCTTCGAGCGATTTCTATCATAAGATCCTACCATTTCAACGTGTTCTTCCAACAGAATTATTTGATGATTTACTTAAATTTCATTTAGCCCCTCATGTTAATCCATCACATCCAATTTTACGTTCTCCAAAGAGAAATCAACAAATTCAATCAATTTTTATTAATCATATTCATGCTGCTTGGATAATGAGTCAGATTGACGTCGTTGAATCATCTAAATTTTATAATGGAAATAATCCAAAATTACTTCCTTATGATCTTAAACTATTAATACGTGGCAGTCACGGTTGTATGTCAGATGATATTTTTCATAAATATTGTGATAATCAAGGTCCTACTATTACTATAATTAAAGTTAGAGATATGGATGAAATTCTGGGCGGATATAATCCTATTTCATGGGATTTCAATACAAAATGGGCCGAGTCTTTTTCTAGTTTTATATTTTCTTTAAATAAGAAGGATATTAATAAATCTATTGTCAGCAGAGTATTGAATCCTAGTAAAGCAATTAGAAATACACATGGTCCTTCATTTGGTGATGGTGATTTGTGGGTAAAGGTTACAGCTCACTTTACCAATAATGCTACCCTTCCTAGTTTTTGTAGACAGAAAAGTTATGATAAAAAAATTGCTGATTTTGAACAATTTTATGTGGAAGATTTTGAAGTATTTCAGATTATTAAAAAATCAACTGTCATTTATCTCTAGTGAATTCTTTATATTATTTCATAATTATATGTATCAAATTTGTCATAATAGTCGAAGCAATAACAATCATCGAAGCAAATTCACTCTTATCTTTATTGTACCAAATTTATTTTTATATTTTATTAAACTAAATATAACTACGTGTCTTTTTTTGCAAACTACATATCAGATAGTATATCATATTTTACGCATTATAATGCATATAATCTCTAACAACTATTAAGGTAACCTAATTCTTTGAAATAGAATTGTGTACGATATATTTCGAACTTGTCTGTTCAATCTCAATTTAAATTGTAACCCTATGATGCCTCTTAGTAAACTCATACAGGGAGGTCACCAGGTTTCTGGGTCGGACCACCTCGGAATCATGATCGGAAAGACCGGAATTGGCTAATTTGGCCAAGATCACTAAAGTTTTACTAATGCTGTAATGAAGAAGCGGAGGCACTCATATTTTTCAATAATCTTCTCGATTAACTTTAGGGTTAGGGTCATCCTATGTTAGGGTTATGTTAGGTTTTAGATAGTTATATATAAGCAAAATTGCTTTCCCGACATTTTTGATTAACCTACTCGAGGTAGGTTTAGACTGCCGTTTTTGCATTTTTCGGGGGTTTGTTTTTTATTTCTTGTTTTGCTTCGCTGGCGATCATCAAAATTCTATAATTTGATTGGTGTCGATCACATGATTTGCCTCCGCTTAGAACTACCCAGTATCAGAGACAAAACATACATTTTTGATACTCCTACACCTACTTTTTTGATGCATCTAAACATAACCAATAAGATCGCACGTTATAGCAAAAGTTAGTAAACTGTATAGAAATTTAGGATATGTTTAGATGGATCAAAAAGTAGATGCAGAAGTATCAAAAATGTATGTTTTGCGTGTCGATCATGTGATATTACTTTATTACACAACTATTTTACGAAGTAGCGAACTCAAACAAAAGTGCATTTTTTATAATAAATTATCGAAGAATTCATGTTAATTATCTATATAAATCAATTAAAGCTATGTAAGGATGTTAAGTGGTGCGTCTGGTTTAGTCCTGATCCAGTCTCTAAAAAGTCTGGTTCAGGATTAGTTAAAAACTAGTTCACTCCCCTGTCAATAACAAGTCCTACAGTAGTGGTTTACTATAGATTTTATAATACTTTTTATTATAAACTTTACCATTATTGATCGACAAAGTTGACACTTAACTAATTTTAACTTAATTCACAACAATTAGAGTATCTGGCATTGATTTTCCAATTCGTTTATTTAAGTACTTAGGATGTATTGTTATTAATTCACATCTTATCAAACTTTATTTAATATGTCAAAAATGATATTTTATTCATATGATGCAAGAGCTGGACTGGTTTTGGACCTTTTTGGACTTTTTGGAGCAGTCTTTACTAGTCCTTAAAAAGTTTAGTCTGAACTTAATCTAAACTAGTTTTTTGTGAATTATTTAATATCTTTAAAGTTATATATAATATAGTTTGAAAATATATCAAAAATGGATATTGAGAGCATTAGGTATGATTCAGTAAAGTTAACAGGTTTACAGATTCAGAGGATTTAAAGTGAAATATCTAAGCAGAAGTGTTAGATATGGCAATTGGTAGAGAACTTCCAGGCAGACTTCTTAAATAAGTAATATAAAAAAGTTACATATGTAGTTAATTGTATGTTCTTCCTGTAGTGGTTCACTGAACCACATTTACCATTATTAAATAAAGTCAAAAGATCCAAGAGATCACTTTAATATCAAACAAAATGGATATTAATAATCATATCTTTTATGATATAAAAATGTTGATCAGAAGATTCTAGATTTTATAACATATGACATTAACTAATCAAATTTATCAAAAAATTTTATATATAAAGTAATTTATTATTTCAACATTAACAAAACTATAAACAAAGTTTTATTTTTATTAATATTCTAAATAATAACTAAATTCTATTTTATTACTACAACTGTTACCAATTATTTAATATAAATATTTAGTTTATATAATTAAATAATATAGTAGAAGATGGCAATCCTAGTATAGTAGTTGGGTTGTCATCCTCCAAGTGGCAGATCTAAGGTTCAAATCCCACCTATGATAAAATTTGAAAATTATATCTGCATAATAGTAATTGTCTCCTGTTGATTGGTTGAGCTCATGTGACTGTAACTCAGATATATCAACTCAGGTTCTACTGACATTAGAAGCTTAGGCATTTATACAAAGTATAATGTTACATATATCTATTATATAATTTGCGACAGATAGATAAACACTATGAGATAAACATTATGAGATAAACAATATGAGATAAAATTGTGATCTGATTGGCTACCTTTATAATTAGACCCATGTAACTTATTTATATACATTATTATTTTTTGTAAAACTAATAACAGTATATATAATAGTTATAAAATTTAACCTCTATATAAGCACAACTGCTTTATAAGCATTAAATTCTTAAAACCAAGGTTGTGATTATAGAGGAAAAAGACTATATATGCATCTATGCAAAGCATAGGTTTTTAGCTAGTATAGAAGAATATATAACTGGTGTTGCATAAGATTTTGGTACAAACCCATGATAAGACCATCAGGTATAAAAGACTAAGGAATCAAAGTGACAGAAACCCACTTGAAAATTTTTAAATAAAGAGGTAGCATAAACTTTCGATAGTACTATTAGACTGGTTGAAGCCTACAAAACACCTTTATAGAAACAAAGATTAAAACCAGATGTCAAATATGTGTAGAAAAGCATATAACCAACCAGGCTGCCAGATTCACTAGAGGAAAAGAATACAGAAATATATTATACTAGGCCATTTGGATTGGTAGTCTAAAATAAAACTAATGGTCCTGAGTTGTGGCTAATAGAAGATGATGGAGAAGATATTAAAAAGATAGATACCAAGATTTAGGTAAACTTTACAAAAATAAAAATAATGTAATGTAACAGTTAAACAGATAACTCTTATGACTGCAAGTGTTTGAAAACTATAACATGTTGCATAAACTAGGTTTATATATGTAGAACATAAAGACTCTAGTAAGTTTCCTATTGAGGATAAATTAGTTCTAAGGATAACAATAAGCATCAAGAACTTGAATAGGTATAGTCTTGAGATGTTCTTATGATACAAAAAGAATTATATATGCAAAGAGTTTAAATAGGCAAGACCTCTAGTTGGCTTACAAATATGGCTACTAGTATAGAATTTATATAGCAATGTGTAAGCAGACTACTTAAATTAGATACCAAAGTGCATATGTGACTAGTTGTAATCTTTAATGTAAGATGAGCCTTTGGTGGCATGTTGTGTTCTAATATACTTGAATAAAAATATTGCATTCTCAAAATAGGGACTTTAACTATAAAAAAAAATAATAATAATAAATAATATAATAATATTACTCATATATATTATTACTGTATACAACCTATCTGTATAATAACTTTCAACTAAATCTATATTGAATGTTCTGTGTTTTTTTTATAAATTGTTTCTAATATCTATATATTTACAATTAAAAAGATTATTATAATATAAATAAATTAAAAACTTCTAAATATAATATTAAAATATTAAACTGATCTTAAGCTAACTAACAACAATTCTAAACTTTTTATACAAAATAAATACCTAGTTTAATGTCTCATTTTTTTTAATTAAAAGAGTTTATTATGCAGAATTATTTAGAATTATTAAAAATATATATTTTAAAATATGTATTCAATACTTATTAGATTCTAATGATTATTAAAATAATTTTTTTTGAATACATAATTTTTAAGAAGTAAAAGGACATAAAAGCCAATCAAATTCAAGAGTTGGATTATAAATTATTTTAAAATACAATTTTCTAATTTGATATATTTTTAAACTACAATAAGACATATTAATACAATAATTAAAAATAACTTATTATATATATATATTAGATAAAAATATAAAATGTTGTAGTCTGTTTTAGTTTATTATTGAACCTAAAGACTAGTTTTAGTAAAGAATTATAAACTAAGTTATAGTTTGTATTAGTTTATAACTAATTTATAATATAGTTTATTAGCTAGTTTTTAAAATAGGTTATATAATTTTTTTTTGGCATTAAGGTAATCTCTTGAATCTTTTGAGTTTTATTAACATATTTTTAGAAATATAGTTTTGAGAGAAGTTATTATAGAAAGAATGTACAATTGCCTATTTATATAACTTTCTATATTATCTATTTAAGAAGTCTGTCTAATATTTTTTACTAATTATTGTATTTAACTTCTTTGCTTAGATGTTTTATTTTAAATCTTTTAAATTTGTTTTATGTTAACTTTATCAGATTAAGTCTGGACCCTTCATCTTAATTTTAGAATATTTTTATCTTTAAAATAAACTTTTCAAGTCTACTATATATATTTTTTTGTAACTAATCCAAATATTACTATGGTAGAACTAATACTTACAGTCAAGACTAATCATTAAAATGTTGTGTTTTTGTAAAGTTCATCTAAATCTTAGCATTTACTTCACAGTATATTCCTAGTATTTTAGTATATTTTTGTTTTTTTTTACTAAACTTTTAATTCAGATAGCCTATATAGAACTACAACCAATCTATCAATATATTAAATCAATCTAATATTCTTTTCTTCTAGTTCATTTTAGCAACCTGGTTAGTGATACTTTTGATACTATTAATTTATAGTTTTTTCTTTAATCACAGTGATAATAGAAGCTGTTTAACTATAGTATAACAACTATAATTTAACAAATTCTATACAAAAATCTACACAAAACTTAACAAAATATAAAGTGATTTGGGATTTTAAGACAGAGGCAACAATAGATAGTATATGAAAATACTAAATATTGCATTTAGTTTATTAACTATAAAATGTATGAAGACACTTTCTATTAAAGTGTATAAAGACATTTGTATAAAGTATAACAGCATTTAGATGAAGTATAGGAACACTTAGATAAAGTATAAGAATACTTAACTTTCTTGAAGAACAAGAAAACAGTGCTTTTATAGATATTTTACATGCATAAATTATTACAATAAAGACTATTCTATTGCTAATAAATACTATATATAATAATATTAAGATATATAAGAACTAATAGATATAATAGATATAATATATATAATAGATATAAAAGATATAATAGAAATGATAGATATAATAAATATGTAATATCTATTAGATATGTTAAATATGTTAGATCTAATAGATCTGTTAAAAATGTTAGATTTGTTAGATTTCTGGCACAGTAATGTAAGCCAATCAGAATCAAATCACATATACTAGAATTAGTGCTTTAATCAAAATTATCTCAATCTCATAATCTCATAATCAGAATCATATAGTCTTGTACTCATTAGAATCATTTCAGTAAGCTAAATCCGATGATGTTTGTTTCATCCAATTTGGTTTAGTACATTAAAAGTTATAGTCAAAAATGTGTAAAACTCTTAATATTAACAATACTTTTAACTTTGAAATTCTTGTCTGTCTAGTTACTTTGATATTAGTATTTGTTTTTTATATTTAGTCTTTATAGTGATACTATTAAAGATTCATATAATCTTTCTATTCAGATTTTTTCAAATAGGCTTTTTGTTTCATAATTTCTACAGATTTATACAGCTATAAGAACTTATCTTGGATTTGCACCATCTGATATTAATTTGCATTTCTTTATATAACCAATTATACAAATACTTTATAACTTGCCAGACATGCTAATGTGTTTATAATTATAGATATCTTAACCTAATTATTAGAAACAGTTACTATAATACAAGATTATACAGATAATTATCCAAATTTTCATCATTAGTAAGTTTTGAACTTACAATCTACTATTTGAAGAGTTAACAACTTATTTACTTCACAAGTCACTATATCTCAGATTATATACAAAACTTCTTACTAATAGACTTAATAGTATTTTTACCCAACATTCTATTTTATCTTTATATAACTATATTGTCCTTTCTGGTAATAGTACATCAATTCCAATTCATATTTTAAACAATACTATAGAAGATGCTTTCTGCAACTCTAAACAACTCTGGCTACTATCACAAGACATGAGTAAGGCCTATAACTCTGTCAATCCTAACCTTTTTGAAAAATTCTTATTATGACTACAAATACCCCAACACCTTATTAAAATCCTAACTGATCTTCTTACTGATTGCCATAATTATATTATAACTAATTTTGGACTTACAAACTCTTATATAGTTAAAAATAGTATTGATTAAGGAGAGACAATTACATCACTCTTCTGGAGAATTTACTATGCTCTTCTTGTTAGTAAAATTGCCAACTATTTTCATAAATACATCTTACATACCTTATAGAAAACTAATATCTCTTTATTCTAACTACAAAACTTATAAACCTCTATATCTGTACTGGCATACATGAATAATACCCTCTAGATAGCACAGTTCAAAAATGAACTTGAATCAATAATTAAAATGACATCATCCTTTTATTACATAGCAGATATACAAATTAATCTTGCCAAATCTATCCTAGCTTTTAATACATCATCTACTGCTAAACTTTTCTTCTTTGATTCATCAATTAAACCTATCTCAGCTAACCAACTATTTAAATTCTTAGGCTGCTGGTTCACATTTAATAGATCTATATCCAAACAAGGCCAGCTAATTTAAGCTAAAGCAACCCAACTAATCAATATTACTAGTACTAAAAAAATTACTAAAAAACAAATAGCATATATTATTAATATAGTAATTATATCAATTATTGAATATAGATTACACAATACTATCCTCACACACTCTATATGCAATAGCATATTAGTCAAATACCCTTACTATAGCTAAACATAAATCCAACTTATCCAGATCCTTTCCTAATAGCTTTATGCTCAACTCATATTTATACAATATCTGTAATATTTGGAACATCCAACTGCAACATCACATCACTAATTTTTAACAATAGATTAATAATCCTAATATTCTTGGTACAACAATTAAAATTAGGCTGCAACAACTTCAAAATAACCTCTGGTCTACTACTAATATTCTTTAACATAACCAGCCTATTATTGACAGATACAATAAACTTACTCTTAATTTTAAAATTATTCAGTTATTTTAACATCTTAATATTATAATCTCTGCTTATTACAATATATTATAGCCAAATACTATACACAATGCATGCCAACCAATTGAACCTTATTATTATATAATATCCAAAATACATTATCTTTAAAAAACAATTAAGAAAACTTAATATCCTTTACTTAGAGCAACTATGTATTGCTGATAACAGTATATTACTTAAATAGCAATATCTTTTACCAAAATTACATCAACTAATAAAAGAAAAACAACCTTTATGATTTACCTCTTTTGAAAACAAAATTATATCAGATAAATATCACAAAACTATCTTATCTCACTTTCAATTACCTGGTACCAATCCTTTTGCATACAATACATATCCTATTGCCAAAAAACAAAAACCTTGGCTCTTTACTTATTATTTCAATAATGAAGAAATTATTATTGGCAAAATTCACAAATATATTCCTGCCTCTAACTCATTCTTGATTACATATTGGAAATCTAATATTAATTTAGATTACAGTCAATATTATCTACTTCCATCTATCGAATGCAAACCATGTATAGAATGCCATCTTAATTCAAACAAAATTAACCAAATATGTACTATTAACACATCAGCAATTATTTCTGCAACATTTCTAGCTAGAAAAACCTTCAACAATCTTAAACTTAATGTTAATTACATTGATCTTATATGGGCTAGGTGCTATAAAAAGGGACAAAAATGCTAATTTTTTTAAAATTTTTTTTTTAAGCTTAACAGACTCAAAAATAGCTTAAAAACATTTTTTTACTTAAAAAAGTTAAGTCAATATCTTAATAAAATTTTACATTATAGATAAAACAGTATAAAAAGCTAGTTAGATTGAATAAATATTTCCAATATAAATTGGTATAAATTGATGTAAATCATCACATCGATTTGAAATTTATTGTACATAACAATAAGCCAATCAAAATCATGGATTTTTTATATAATTAAAAACAAAATTTTTTCTTTGCATTTGTTCAAAGTTCCTTTTAACTTACTGTTTAGCAGTACTCATAGTACCTGACCTCCAGATTTTATTTATTGAAATAGTAACTTACTTAGTTAGTTTATTTAGTCTCTGATTAATTAAAATTTTGCTTCTGATTTATTAAGTAAGTTGCCCTTAATCATGAGGTTGATGGGAATGTTATGAGCAGTGTTAAACAGTAAGATTGTATGCTAAATAATAGGTATTGTTAGCTTAAATTAGTAAAGTTTTTTTTTTAAATCATGAATACACACTGAAAGAAACAAATAATCTTTGTTTAGTTGTAGGTATAATGAATACATGCCAGAAGATATGAATGATCTAGACGGAGATATTCTAGTGACTTAATCATTATTATGAACATGGAATAGGAGTTAAGAAAGATGAAATAATACTTTTATTCTTTATTAAAAGCCTGCAGTATGGGATCATCTGGCTCAAATATTCCGGCTTGCTATTGTGTAAGGCAGAATTGAAGCTAAGATGAAAATAAATTATTCTTTTATTATCAAATATCTACAGATATGAATGATCCATCTAAAATATTCGACTTGGTTATTTATTATAAACATGTTAAAAATTCATTCATTCATTATTAAATTCAGCATATGAATGATTTAGTTGAAGTATTCTGGCTTGGTTTTGTTACAAATATGAAATTGAAATCAAGAAAAATAAAAATAAAGCATTCGTTTATTATCAAAAAATGTAGATACGAATAATTTAGTCAGAATAACCTGGTTAGTTACAGAGTTGGAATTAAAAATAGGCATTCATTCATTATAAAACTATACAGATATGAATAATCTGTGAATATTCTGGCTTGTTTATTTCTATGACATAGTGTTGGTGCAAAAAATGAAAATAAGGCATTTATTCATTACTGAAAATTGAGCTAATAAAAAATATCAGATTGGAGTTATACATATTAGAATAAGTAAATTTTTTATTATTAACTATATAATATGTGTTATGATTAATTATTAAATATTCTAGTTTTTGCTTCGAATTATGTGCATCTTAGGAATCAGCCAGGGCGGACCTCCCAAAGTTCAGATGTGCTACTGCCACAATATCTAATATTTGTAATCTTCACTAACAGAATAATCTTGTAATTATATAAATTATAATCTCGAAAAGTCATTAAGTTAGCAAAAATATTATTTATCAGTTCTGGTCACTAGATGTTGTATGTTGCTATAGTAAAACACCTAAATTTCAAAAGGACCATTCTGCATCAAGTAGTTTTTTGTATACCAAATTTTCACATACTTAAAGTTGATTGTATTGTAATTAAAAATTTTATTATTTATTGTTATTATCATTATTTATTTTTACTTATACATATAGGCATTTATACTATAACTATTATATAAACAAAGTAGTATCTTAGATCAAGTAATAACTTATTGAAGGCTTATTATATTTCCATAATAAATTCTGGAGATAATTCAAACATACTGAATCCAGAATATTGACAATAGCAATAATAGTATATTGATCTATAATCGCTTAACTTGTTTATTATAATTATCTAAAGTAGTTAGTATCCGAATTTAGGATTGTATATTTTTGGAGGATTCTTGTTGTTGAAAACAAAGAAGCATCTTAAATTTGGGTGCTTCAGCTTTGATTTTTTATCAAATAATTTATGTATGTTTTGCATTACTTAAAAAATAAATTGCATAAATGTAACAGTATAACATATAAAAATTTGATGCTATGTTTACTCTATTGGCAAATAGTCATATAATAGTTATAAATTATTTATTACAGTTGAATTCTTTGGATTTTACCAAAAAAAATAGATTTAACACATATAGTGGTTTCTTCAATTTTTTTAAAAACATATTCGAAAATATATTTATTAGCAGAAGAATTTAATCAGCTCAAAATATTCTACCAAACCAATAATGATTTTGATGAATTAGAATTAAAAGAAACAGAAAAAAAAAAATCTCTTAAAAACACAAAATTTAACAATATACAAGATAAAAAAATACAATTTGATAATCAAATTCTTATGTCTGTACAAATCGAAAAATTTCAAAAAATATTTGTTCAACATACAATTAAGGAAAATGAAGAACAAGAAATTAATAAAGAATTAATTGTTTTCTTAGATCAATAAGAAAAAGAGGCTTTTTTTATTAAACTTCGTACATTAGTTTGTTGTAAAACCAAAATGTATTTAACTAAAATTGATCATAAATCTGTGTTTCGAATTTTTGATAGTATTCAAAAATTATCTAAAACAATGTGTAATATTTTTTTTTTAGGAATGTTTCATACAATAGTTCGTTTTAATAAGACTTTATGCAGTAAAGAAAGACAATATTTAGCTGTTAAATATACTTTTAATGATAACGAAATTTGTGAAAAAGCTTTTCAAACTATATATTCACTATCTGATAAAAAATGGAGAAATATTCATAATCATTATCAGGTTAATGGTATTAAACCAATTATATATACCTTTTCAGAAAGAAAATCTTATCACTCTTTATCATTTGAGACTATTTTAAATGTTCTTACATTTGTCATTAATTATACGAATTGCCATAGATTGCCATCACCAAATAAATTGATAGTGATATTAGTTATATTAATAATTTTTTTCTTTTTTAAATAAATATAAATAAATAAATAAAAACTTAGGAATCACTTTAAATACATAGTAAATATTAATTAATAAAATATATATAAATAAAAATTTTATTAGACTGCCATTTTCTTGAAGATACTATGGCTATTACATTTCTTTCTGCAAGTGAAAGCTATATAGGATTATATCATATTTATCAATCAAGCTTAGATGAAACTTCTGATTTTTATATTAGTTGATAGTCTTTTGTACGAATTTAGAAAAAATACATTCCAGAAATTTGCTTTTTATCACCTCAAAGTGATTTATGTATGTTATGTAAAAATATGCGATTCAATACTTAATTTTGGGCAGAAAGTGAATGAGATCAAAATGTTTAACAATGGAATGATCATATCAATTGGGCACATCAAGAACAGGAGTATTATAAGTAAGAAAATTTGCTAAACCTTAATTATTATTCTAAAATATAATGATAAGTTATATTGTATTTCATAGGCTAAACAACCCTCTTATAAAAATCTTATAGCTCTATACTTGAGCATCTTAATAATATAATAATACAAACTTTGCATCTTTTGTATTGCTAATACTCACAACTAGAGGTCAGATCCATGAATATTTATGATTAAAAATGAATATTCAAAAATATTTAGTTATACAAATAGAATATCGATATTACCTGTAGATGTTTAAATGCTATAAATATTTATTGAATAGCCATAATAGATATTCAAAGGATCTGACCTCTTGTCATATATTGATAACAATAAATAACTATCAACATTAAAAAAAGCTATTAAATATTCCACAAGAATGAGTAGTTTAGCCTATGAAATATAGTAATAATTTCCTCAAATGAATCAACCAGGTTGACCACCAATTTTGTGAGTCACCTAATAAACACCACTACTGCAGCCACCTCCAATATAAGTCCCAGATTCACTTATAACATGCATGTAATTTAAATGCATGATCATTGAGTTATGAGTGAATCTGAGAAGGTGGCTGCAGTAGTGGTGTAAATCAGGTGATTAGCAAAATTGATGGTTGTCTTGGCTGATTTCTCAGAATAACCAGAGTAATTTAATAATGCTCATATCAGCAAATTTGCAAAATTGGGTCTAAATAGAGTCACTAAAATTTTAGTGCTAAAAAAAATAACAACAGCAATAGAGATTAAAATTTCTATCACTATTGTTTAATTTTTAATCTCTTTTGCTATTGTTATTGATATATTAAAGGTTATATTACATAGCAATCGTATATTTATTTTTTTGGCACTAAAATTTTAAAAACTCTATTTAAACTTAATTCTGCAAATTCACTAATATGTTGAGTAAAAAAACTTCTCGATAAGTATATCTTTTACTTGCAATATTATAATAATTTTTATTTTATTTTATTTAAATTAAAATTTTAGGTGATGTATACTTAATATGAAACAACAATTAGGATTTTTTAATAATACATCTATGCTCTTATGTCCAGGTGCACCAAATTCTTTAGAATTTGAAAATCATGTTTTATGGAATTTTGCTAAAGCAGTACATCTTCTATTTTCTTCGCAACAAGAGATAATTTATCAAAACTATAAAGCTATAAATTTAAATTGTTAGAATATTTTAATATTACTGTGCTTTTCAAATAGTTCTTATAGTAATTTATATGATATATTACTCTAACTGTGCTGTCCATACTGTCTTTAAGAACTGTCTATAAATTATCTGTACAAATTACTGTGATCATGCTATTATAATATCTATAATTATATTAGATTTTATATTTCGATTGGTTAACCAAACAATAACAATTTTTAGTTTTTTTAACTGTACCTTATAAATTTAGAATGATAGAAACTTGCCTTGTTTATTTTTAATGCTCAAAGCTATTTTCGAATTCTATAGCTTATAGAATTCAAAAATATTCAAACTAACCAGGTCATTATTGAGATATCTGCTCAAAAGTTAAAACTACAAATAATATTAAACTTTAATAGAATAAGGATTAATAAATAATTTTTTGAATTTACATTTTAAAAAGCTAATTACATTAATTTGAAAAGCATAGTAATAAATTTGAAAAATTTATCAAGTCATTTAAATTACTGTATAGTGTAGACTAAAAGACCCCACTACTATAATAACCCTCATGATTTTTAGAGGCTTAAAATGTATTATACTGGGGTACTAAGTTAAGCATTTAATACCCAAGGTGCTAAAGATAGGTAATTGCACTTGGAATATAACAGGCAAAACACCTATGCTAACTATATCCCTCTGACTATAATATCTGTATATGAAGACTAACTTGTAAAATACTTTAGGTCTTTTAGTCTATACTATTAATAAAAATTGGCAGTACTTATGTGTAATAGAATATTTTAGAAATTAAATTGCATATCTATTTATTTTATTGATTTGTTTTTTTTTATTATATTATTATTTTTTTTTTGAGAGGTCAATTTATTTTAAATCATTATATAAAGTTTCAGTCTTTGGAATATGTGAGAATGCTTTTCTGTAACAGGTATTTATTATTTAAATTTTCAAAATTTTAAAAAAATTTTTATAAGAATTCTGTTTTCACCTGAATTAAAATCTTCTGATAAACTATAATATTCTTTTTGTGACCAAAATTAATAATAATAATATTTCAGAAGACTTTAACTGAGTTAAAAATAGAATTTTCTAAATTTTTAATATTAAAATTTCAATAAATAATTTATATTTTAAATAAATTATTTAATTAAAGAAAATGAGGATGTTAGAAAAGGTGCAAATGCTGTTATTTCAATAGTTCATCATTATTTCGAAAATCATAGTCTAGGAGAAAAATATATTGTTATTCATGCAGACAACTGCTTAGGACAAAACAAGAACAATACGATGATAAAGTACTTAATGTGGCATGTTTTAAATAGTTTGCATAAACGAATCATATATTCATTTATGATAGTTGGACACACTAAATTTTGCCTGATGGATTTTTTGGACTTATCAAACTAAAACTTTGAAATTCCGAAGTAGATAACTTAGCAGACATGGTTCAAGTCATTCAAAACTCTACTATCGGAGGCTATAATACAGCACAAATGATTTATAATTCGAATAGTATTCAGCAGGTTAAATTTTATAAATGGGATGAATTTTTAAACAAGTTATTTGTAAATGTTCTACAAATTTTAAAACAGCACCATTTTATCATATCATCAGAAAAACCTGGAAAAGTGAAAATAAAATTAGCAATTTGTGATAAAAAAACAGAAATAATATTACTAAAACAAAATAAAATAAATTTATTTTCTTTATGCAATCTTTCAGAATCTCTTTTAGTAAAACAATTAACCCCGCAGTAGCAATGGTATCTGTACAAACAAATTTGAGACCATGTTCATGATCCTACAAAAAAAGATGAATTTTGCCCACTATCATTAGTACCTAAAGCAAAATAAATCAATTTATCATTATTAAAATCAGTATGTTACTTATTATTTTTAATTTTTTTTTATTATATTGTTACAGTACCGTGGCCTTCTTAACAGCAATACTATAACAATGACACGGCTACAGGGATCCTTTATAGGTTTATAGTGGTGTCCAAGAGGTAAGTATAATTCCTTAGTCTGTAAGAAACTATAC